TGTTTCTGGCATAGCGATTAGTCTTGCATACTTAGTAAAACGGTCCACTATTACGAAGATGTGTCTCTTTCCAGACTTACTGGTCACAAGAGTATCCATGAAGTCCATGGACACACTTTGACTAGGACCTTCAGGAATCGGCAAGGGCTTGATGAGCCCAAGCGGAGCCTGAGTCCTCGGTTTGTCTCTTTGGCAAACCTGGCAGGTTTCAACATATCGTTTTGCATCTTCCATCATAGAGGGCCACTATAATCTCTGAACTAAGTTTGTTGTTGTCTTCTTATAGCCAAAATGACCAGTTGCATCGTGACATTCTCCTAAAAATAAACTACGCAACGACTCACTACTGGGGACACACAATCTTTTATTCCCTGCCTTCTCAAGGAACAGCAARCCATCTACCATCGTAAATTCGTCCAAAGTCTTTTTGTCCTTTGCTTGGAACCTACGAATGATCTCTGACATAACTGAATCTCCCTGATAGGCTTCCACCAACGATCGAATGAGTTCGTCAGATATGCCAAACTCAGTGACTAGCGTGCCCAGATAATCTGCCCTTCTTGATAGCGCATCAGCCACCTTGTTGTACGTACCCTTGATAGGATCAAGTTGATAGTCATACATGTCTATCACTTGAGTCCATCTCTTGAGTACGTCTGACAACACAGGCTGTGTCTTTGTCCAGTGCAAAGTCTCATGACCTCACATAGAAGAATCTCCCTAGGAGGTAGTGTCTCCAATGGACTAGCGCTCTGTATAGGGCGTAGAGCTCTCTTTCGTACGTGGACTTAGCTAACTTTTGAGACGACATCTTTTTGCTCATATATTCGATCGGTCTCAACTTGGGCCCTTCCTGTTGCGCAAGGACCGCGCCTATGCCATATTGGCTGGCGTCTGTGGTCACAACAAACGGCTTGTTAGGATCAGGAAGTTTGAGAACTTCATAGTGTGTTAGAGCATACTTCAATTTCTTGAAGCTTGCCTCACACTATTCAGTCCACTCCCAAGGGGTGTCAAGTCGAGTTAGATCTGTTAATGGGGAAGCTATAGTACTATAGTTTTTCACAAACGGACGATAATAGCCCGTCATCCCCAAAAACGACCTGACCTCAGTAATAGTCTGAGGTCTGGGCCAGTCACGTATGCTGGCCACCTTCGCATCTTCCGGCCTCAATCCATCTGCTGATATTTCATGACCCAGGTACAAGATCTTGGTGCGACCAAACTCGCATTTATCCAAGTTTACCTTGAACTGGTACTGTCTTAGGAGACCTAGTACTGTTTTCAAGTGCTCAGCGTGCTCCTCTACAGTCCTACTAAAGATAAGAATATCGTCGAGGTACACGGCGATAAACTTGTCTAAGTACTCGTGAAATATCCGGTTCATCGCGTGCTGGAACGTACTAGGCGCATTGCATAGGCCGAAGGGCATCACCACAAACTCGTACAGACCGTACCTGGTCTGAAATGCGGTTTTGTGTTGGTCCTCAGGTCTAACGGCAATTTGATGGTATCCGGACTTCAGATCTATCTTTGTGAAATACCGGCATCCCATCCAAGAGGTCGTCAATGCGGGGTAGGGGCTTCGCGTTCTTAACGGTGATGGGATTGAGGCCCTTATAGTCAATGCACATCCTTAATGGACCTCCCTTCTTAGGAACAAATAAGACTGGCACACCGTAAGGGGAGGTACTAGGCCGTATCCATCCCTTCTCTGTGAGCTCCTTTAGCTGGCGGCGAAGCTCATCGAACTCCGCAGGAGACATCCTATAGATTCGTCCTCTAGGCACCTTACTACCCGAGACAACCTCTATTGCATGGACAACCTCCCTTTCCACCACGCCTGTGGGCTCCTCAAAAAGGTCTGAATATTGTGAGACGACTTTTTCTATCTCTGGGGGTGATTTAACGGCCTCCTCTTTCTCAGAGACAAAGACTAGGTACATGCCCTCCTCCTGATTCTGCTTGTAATAGTTATAGAAGGATGAAGCACACATACACCCGTAGTTCTCTATTAGACTGCTAGCTTTAAACTTCTGCAATCTAACAGTTCTACCATTGGGCAGTTTGTGAATCAACACCTTTTTATCCCAATCAAACTGCAGTTGCGAGACTTCGAGGTAGTACATGCCTAGTAGCATATCGAATGGCAGTTCGTGCTCACCAGGAAGGAGGTCTTGTGGATCACTTCCCCTCCTCCATAGGAGAATGAACAGGCTACGTCCTTGACATAGTCTTTCACTACCATTTGGTGCTTGTTGGCTAGCGTAGAAGCTACAGTTCTGCTAAGCCGCTGCACTTGGTCCCCTAAGCGCAGTCTATCCACACAAGCACGGCTGATGAAATTCCGTGTAGAGCCTTTGTCTGCGAAGGCGCCAACCTTGCGGCCACCTACATCTACTTCTACCACGAAATGCTCACCCTTTGGACCTCTACTGATCATCGCCCAAGAGTCCCTGGGGTCCTTCCCTGACCACTCAGTCTCTAACTCTTCTAGGGCCTCAGACACATCTCTCGAACATAGCGTCGTTAGGTCTAAATGTGTCTGTGGGGCGATATGTGGGTCACTAGCCTTGGCCAACGCCTGAAGTGGGGAAGGCAACGTTACCACTTCAGCGCGAGTAAGAGCGGCTAACACTCCTACTGGCCCGAGGTGTTTCCCTGTGAGCTGCTCGCAGAAGCACTCCCAGGGCTCGAAGATAAGCCCACCACCGTTGGTGAGGCTACCTTCGTGGTGACCTTCTTGTCGCGGCAAGTCCTGGACGTGTGGCCAAAGTTGCCACAGTTCATGCATGTACCCCTAGCAACGCGGTCACGCCACACCTCGTATTCTAAACCAATCTTCACCCATGCGGGTGTTCCTTGGTCGCCCTGACCCGTGGACCGTCCTACCTTCTTCTTCCCGGTCGCCCTAGCCTTCTCCTTGATGGGTGCTATGACTCCACCATCTGAAGTCTCACTACCCCCATCGTGCTCTGTGAACTCCCCAAGATCTGAGTAGTCGTCAATCTCCGTCGTTTGACCATCGTGGTCAACGAACATTAACTGACCCTTTTTCTTCCAATCTTGGGGCAGTCTCTTCCTACCATCGTTGGGGGCCTGATGCGCAAATCCTAGCTTTGCCTCGATGTCCGGAGCTTTCTTACTAAAAGAAGCGAAGGTGTGCTGTTCAACATAGGCTTCGTCAACCAGCTTGGTCCTTACCTCTGACGGTAGGCACCTTAGGTAATCCGTTAGGAGAACCTGCTGGTCAAAACGCACACCAGGTACCACGATTAATCGTTCTACGACGTCAGTCAACTCTCTAACATTCTTGAACCTTCGGGAACAAAGACTGTTGATAGCGTCAGTGGCCTTCTGATCCCCTTGTGGGTCATGCCACCTGTTGTATACGGAGCGTATGAACTCTTCCAATGTCTGAGATTGGGCCCAGGCATCGAAGTTTTGACCGTAGCCTTGTTGCTGCACTAAGCCATTTAACCAGCGGCCTGCTGACCCTTCTAAAAAGGAGGCAGCCACTACAACTTCTTGCTCTGGCCTTGTGAGCTTATGACTCACATAAGTAGGCACAGTTCTCACCCAAGTGTCCAAGTCTTCCTCCTTCTTCTTATTGCCAGAGAAAGGCTTGGGACTCATTAGAGGTATCTTGGGCATCCACTGCATAGGCTGCATGGGCCCAGGTGCTTGCTGCAGCAGCTGCATAGCCACTGAAACAGGCTGTTGCATACTAACCTGAGCCTGGCGGGACAGTGGGACTGTAGTGACCACTGTTGTAGATGGTACGACTGAGACTGAATGAACCGGACCACTAGTTGCTACTAAACCACCCGGGGAGGGTATGCCAAACATGGGAGAGAAAGTTTGCCCTGTGCGTTGCGGCATCGATGATGGACCCGCAGCTGCAGGGGGAACTACAGCAAACTGTGGCGGCCTCACCATAGTGCGAGGGCCTCGAAGTTCAGCCAGAATTTGTTTCTAGCCTGCTACCAAATCAGCCAACAATTCCTGCTGAACGCTTTGCGCTTCCGCCACTGAAAGTAAGGCGCCTCGCAGCACACGGATAGCAGGGTCTAATGTTAGTCTGCCTAGCTCCTGCGCTCTACTTTCTAGTCTAGCCTTTCTTTGCATAGCTTTCCTTCTCCTCTCTACTACATCGTCCATCTGCTGCTGTAACTCATCCTGAAGTTCTTCTGCCTGCCGGATTTCTAAGTCCTCCGGCGTGAGTGGAGACTGGCCGACTCGCACATGACCAATCTGACTAATGGGAACCTGAGAACCACTCTGACTGACTCCTGAAGAAGTGGGCTGTGTAGAGGGTTGCGTCATAGATGAGGTAGTCATGGCTGCACTGATACTAGCTGAAACTCTAGCCCTAGCACTGTCCTCAGTTGCCCTCACTCTCCTTGCCGCTGCCCTCTCTCTAGCCTCTCTCCTCAATCTTCTCTCGTCTCCTGGACCCAACTCCAAGAACGTCAAGGGTCGACTGCGGGCAGTCCCGCGAGTAGTCCTACGGTGGTCCACTAGTAATTCCTCCTCACTTGTGCTTGTATCACTCATGAGCTACAGTGTGTGTGATCTAAACTAGAATCCACACTGAATCCTACCTTAGCTTGGCACACATCCGCATATGATACACAACTACTTACGGTCGGCTGGAACAGAACTAGTTAGGTGATGTAGTTGCGACTAATGTCAGGTCCTACAGGATATATTAATTCTATTTTTGAAGTACCCTGGAACAGATTGCACTACAGCAAAGATCTAATCTATCTGTAGTCGTCTGTCAGTTGTTAGCGAAGTCTGTCACAACTAGATAATCAAAATAAAAATAACATCTCCTGTTGGAGATGTACACTGAGTGGCAGATTGTATGTTGATCGCCAATGCGAACAGTTACCGGAATCCCCCCCTCCCCCTGTATCCTTCTTGAGTAATCACTTTGTGTCAACGTCCCTGAGCATCTGGTTTAAGCATCGTGTCTGAAGGTGTGTAATCCGGCCCACCCCTGTGCCCCAAGTCTTAGCCGAACATGCTAGCCAGTCCACTCTTATTTACCCTCGTACAGAATGAGCCTTACACCCGGTTGATCAGGTTGATCAGGAGGAATTTAAAGAGCGCCCCCATCTCTTTAGGAATTATTTAACGTCGCAGTCAGGACGACGATCACAGCCAGATTCAGATCCGAGTCCCCAACCAGAAATGTTTATAGACGGTCTCATAAGCGTCTCATAAAAGGCTGGCATGCCCAGGTAGACCTCTAATGTGCAAGCAGCAGAACCAAGGACTTGCGCCCAAGCATGTGTGTACTAGTCCCAGCGGCTTGGCATGGTGACTGTGACCCGAGTGCTTCGTCCAGGGCCCTTCAGAGGCTACGCCCGTCTCCCACCAGCTTGCTGCCCAGGAAGAATATCGACTCTCAAGGTTGAGCGCTCGCGACACCTCACATCAAGAGGACTCTCAAGACAGAACTCACTTCCTCAGGGTAAGAAGAGATGAAGAGGGTAGATAAGGAAGAGAGCAACGTACCTCATTAATGCTGCCCCCAACCACAAATTTCTCACCGGTAACCTGATGTGCAATTATGATGACCGGTCTTTGCTTCGGCACAACCAACAGCAGAATGCGGTTCCACCTCAGCTTAATATGTCACATCAGCGAGTTCTCATCATCCAGCATACATCCCGTATGTCACCACATAGCTC